CTAACAGAGTAACTGCATTAATCAGTAAAATCTTACATGTCTGACAAGGACCCCAGTATGAAAACATTTCAAACCTAATCAGTAAGAAATGAAAGCCCTAGTTTATTTAATATTTTCCTAGATTATGCCCTGCACATTTACAAACACAGATGTAAAGAGTTAAGCACTGATAAACTAAGCATTCCATACCAAACCCAGAATGAATCTACCAATAGAAGATAATGATCCTGCTTTCCATCCAGAAATGTACTGATGATGAGGCCATTAATGCTGATGACATAGGTATTCATAGTTGAGATAAGAGTTATCTTCAATAGAAAATCAACATCCTCTCTATCAAGTGTTCCAAGAAATGGCACTCAAGTTAAACCTTTCCAAAACAGAAACTATATTCTGGAATTCGAATGAAAGCAGAGGTGGCACCTTTTGTGAATCCATCATAAAAATTCAAAGTGAAGATTTAGTAAATACTGAACACTTCTATTTCTATCTGAATTTTGGAGACAAAAAGTTATTATTTACATTTGAACTATTATCCTCATTCTTGTTGATATTACAACATTTCAGGCCAGGCAGTGCACTTGGATTCGGTGGACACAGGGCAAATAATAATTGAGCAGTACTAAAAATAAAAACTAGTGTAAGAAATACAATAACAACAAGAATGAGGACAACACTCCAAATGTAAGAAATAGTTTAAATAAACACTTCAAATGCTTCCTTGTATTGATCAGCTATAACAAATTTAGTATAGGAGATAAGGAAATTAAACATAGAATAGGCTGTGCTAGGGATAGTTTTGCCCAACACTGCCAATTGCTACAAAACCAAAACATTAACCTGTTATGATCTTAAGTAATCTTGTCAGATTGAGACTTTCATATGGATATCATACATGGCATCAAACTTGTTCAGAAATATCTAAACAGTCAGCTGTATACAACCGTTTAGTCAGATCAATGACTAGAAATAGTTTTGAGGGGGTGAAACCTGTGTGTTTTGGTGAAGACCACACCTTGTGGACTGGCGCTACACGATCACAAACAACAAACTGTATCAAACAACAGAAACCACATCATTTGAGGAGCAACAGCTAAAATAGATACAACATGTAACTCGGAAAAAAAAAATTAATGACATAATCAAGATGTTGATGTTCCACACTACTTCAAACCAAAAGTTAGGAAAGAAGCCCCTCCCCCCTTAATATTGGAAAGGACATTAACAGTTACCGAACTTGAGAAACCTATTTTTCAGGAAAACTGTTTTAAGAGATTTATGTAGTACTGGATGCTAGATCAAAGAATGCAAAATGTTTCCTTATAAAGTTAATAATATATCACATTTTCCACAACTATTATGCAATTCGGATATGGTTAAAAGGGAGATAATTCTGGGATTGTAATCTTAACAAGAGTTGCTTCCCTTTCATTTCTTTAATTCTCTTCCCAACTGTAACTGAGTTATTCGGGGAAAAGTGATAAAATAAAATTTTATCGCTTACCTGATCATGTATATAAATGGAGGATAGTTCATAGTGGGCAAATGCAGCGACATGAACATCATCTTTCTTCCCACTGTGCCGGGCAAGTGCTTCTTCCAAATACTGAAAAGGAAAAGCAACATAAAAATTATAAAGACTAATAAATGCTGATTATTGTCAATTCTACTTTGGAACATTTAATCAAATATGTATTAATGAAGGTTTGCTGACTATATATATATATATATATATATATATATATATATATATATATATATATATATATATATCTCAAAGATAGTACAAAGCCAAAAATGCTGACTGTCAATAAGATATTGAGAGAAAAGACTTAAGGTAAGAAGTCTTTGCAACAAAATGCTAGATATCAAAGATAACATTAATAGGATTAATACGAGTAAAAGTTTGTCACTTAGCTGATTGATGACATCCTGAATCCAGAGTTTCACAGGTAGACCTTGTCCTTCTACTATTCAGGTGGTATCAGCAATTGTAGATGGGATGCTGAAGGTAATATCAATCAGCTAAGTGACAAACTTTTACTCATATTAATCCTATATATTTGGTTGGATAGATGTGAGTTTGTGACCCTGGGTTTCACGCTTTAGCGATCGTGAAACCCAAGGTCACAAACTCACATCTATCCAACCAAATATGTTAGCTCTATCTCTGATATTGAGCGCTTTCTAATAAGTACCACGCATATAATATATAAATAATTATACATGTACATATTTATTTATATACACTTTTTACATATATCGTGTATTTAGGCAGCAATCCTTCTTTTATGCATGTTTCATTAAATACGACAGACAAGGTGCTTTGATTAAGTTTTTTATACAATTTCTCATGTGATCATTTTTTTTTCTTACATGGAGATGATGTTATTATATATATGTTATCAAAAAGTATGTTATGAATAGGGTCCAGTAGGTCTCCTTGAGTATTTAAATAATACCTAATTGAGCTATGGTCAGAAAGATGAGTCTTCTTGCCAAAATTTATTTATTGTAGTGTGGTTTATATAATTGTTTACAAATTTTGATTGGTCATGAATATAAATCCTTAATGGGCATTTAAATTTGTAAATAATATTTGTCCTATTTAATTTTGTTCTAAGAGGTGAATTATTATTTTTAACTATAAGATTGGTGGTTTTAAATTTTTTTTAATAAATAATTAGTCTAATTTTTTTTGCTACTGTCTACTTGTGTTGTACATTTATTTATAATGTTCTTAATTCTAGCTTCATCTTGTTTGTAATTTTCATTGATCTGATTTTTATAAAAAAACAACGCTTTATGTTTATATTCTCATTGTTGCTATTAGCCTAATATGTAAAAAAAAAAAAAAAGGCTAAAAATGATGGAACCCTTATTAATTAAAAAAAAAAAAAACACAAAAAACTCAATATCAAACATGGACACAATATGTTGACCATGGTTTGAAAATGAGACATTACATAAATACATACATATAATAATCTATTTCTTGTTAACAGTTAATATATTTCAAACTTGAAAATGGCTAAATGCATAGACGAAAGTGCTTGGAAAAAACAATAACTGGACAGTTTTTATATAATTTATCTACCAAAAAGAAAAAAATTATAAGATCACATGAGAAATTGTATAAAAAACTTAATCAAAACACCTTGTCTGTCATATTCAATGAAACTTGCATATATATATATATATATATATATATATATATATATATATATATATATAAAGTAATCACTTTAAATGTTATTTATAGTAGATGCTCTATTTATTTATTTTTGTTTACTGGCCCAATCCTAAAATGAGAACAAGAGATAAACCTCAACTCCTGTTCAAAAGACCTTGGAGGAGTATGAACTGGATGATAGGAGAACCTATTTACTCCTATTAAATGTGGTGGTAAGTCTATGTTTGAGAGTGTCTTTAAAAGGTAGCCAACACATTACCACCATATATATATATATATATATAAAATGGTAGTAATATATATATATATATATATATATATATATTTATATACGCCAGCCAAATATAGAAATGAATATAATACGGGGACCAGTAATACGGAATGCAGAAAAAAGCAAAAAAAAAAAAATTGAGCTCTGGTAAAAAAAAAAGAAAAAGAAAAAAAAATGGGTACTGAGACATTAATTTTATAAGCCCTCAAAATTCATGCACTAATGTCCTCGACACCTGGATAAAAGCATTGGTTGGATCCAATGACTTTACTCAAAGAGTTGTGAGTTCAATACCTGGCTACTACAGTGATGAACATAAACTTGGAGAGTTGAGATAACTGAGACATCCAGAAGAGGCATGCCGCGTGAAGACACAATACAAGATTATTGGCAAAGTACGTACAACCGGTTGTTTTGGATTATAGAGAGAGAAAAATAATATTAACAATGAGCACAATGTTAACCATCTATGAAAATGTATTTTTAATACCTGTATAGCCAATTCAGTTTCCCCAAGTTCTTTGTGGATGGCTCCTTCTAAGAGACACTTAAGGTGAAATATACGAGTGTCTGTTTGGCTCTCACACACTGCAAAAGAAAACAGAACAAATCAGAAAAGTTTATACATGTACAGTATTTTCTTATGTAGAGTAAAATGCCATCATGTAGCTTCCCTGTGCCTTCCCTATAAATACCTTTTCTTTTCCTATAAATACATTTTTTTTATTATAAATACATTTCTTTTTCTATAAATAGATTTTTTACTATAAATAAATTTTTTAAACTATAAATACGTTTTGTTTTTCTATAAATACTTTTTCTATAAATACATTATTTACTATAAATACTTTTTCTATAAATACATTTTTTTTTACTAATTTTTTAATGGCTGTTTTTTAATTCACTATTATTTCTTATGTGATTTTTAGTGGGTACATGTGATAAACATGTGTATTAGAAAAAAAAAATTAATTATACACACATATGCATAAATACTTGAAGCCATAAATGTGGTAAAATAAAACTCCTCCATAATAGGATTTTACAAGCAAGTAGTAGTTGTGTGGTACTTTTGGATAAGTTGAAAAGAAAAATTATCTGGCCATTTTTTTTCTTTTCTTCACTGAGCAGGAATTTTGTTAATAAAAGATTAAACAAAAGATTATAAGCAATAGACAAATAAATAAAAATGTGTAATTCATTACAAGATTTGTAACTGACCTCCCCACAGATTTATCCCCAAATATGAAATTGGCCTAAAAGCCAAGGGAGGTTGTGCGCAGGGAAGTAAAATTGACCATATTTGACAATAAGGCGGCTTATTTGAACCATCTACAAATAATCTAAATGAGGATTGGGATTTACAAGTGTTACTAATTAACCAATAGCAGGGGTGGGGAGAAAAGGCAGATTCATACCTTTTTCCAAGGGTATTTGCATATAAGTGAATATAACAAACCCAACTGGAATTGGAACTCAGCTTTCCAATTAACAATTCTGAGCCATTATCCATTACATCACCTGCATATCCTAGTGTACAGTACCTGGTATTCCAAAGTGGCCACCCATCTATGTAATGACCAGACTCGATGTTGCTTAACTTCAGTGTTCACACAGGAACTGGTGTTTCAATGGGATATGACCATAAGCTTTGTTTGCACAAGTCAAAAAAGTAGCTATAGGTACAGCAAACAGGTTGTCCCACTTGGTGGGGGCAGTTGCCTCTTTGCAAAAGGATGCAATTAGCATATTCTTGAGCCCAGTCAACAAGGTGAAAACCAAAATGAAGGCTCTCCAAGATTAAGTTAACCAGATTGAACAGCACTAAATCTAATAAAGGTAACTTTTAGGAGGGCAACTTCAGCCAAGAAAAAGAGCAATAGATAAAAATACACATCTTAGAGAACCCCTGTTGGAATAAGGTAAACACAATGTACAATTCATTGTGTAGACAAAATGAAGAATAAGAATAGAAAATAGAATAGTAAGAAGATAATTAGATGTAGCTTTGTTTCTTCCCCACTTTCTAGCTAAGCTTTGTTTGTTTGAGCAAATAAACAGGGTTCCCTTTTCTTTGTTCTGTCAAATTTAATTTAGTTTCCAATTGATCAGTCTTACTTTAGCCAAGAGGAGAAAATAATCTCCAGTATTTTCTTTCCATCTTATGCTTTATCTTGTAACACCTACAACCCCCCACCCCAAAAGAAAGAAAAAAAAATTAATAATCTTGTGTTATTAAGATACATGAAAACTCACCCATCAACATTTTGCGCAATTCTGCTTCTGTACATGTGGGCAAGGCATGCCAAAGGAAGACCAGTTCCAGGGTCAACAGTTTGCAAAACTCTTGGGTGACTGGTGGGCAAGTCTTCAATTTTTCGGCCTGGTAAGATAAAGCCAAAAATAAGATTAATGTATGAAATCTAGAACCACTTGGAAAATAATTACAATAAATTTTTATCTGTCTATATTTCTGAGATGAGGTATTCTGTACACGATTTACATTATTCGAACTATTGTCCTCATCTTTGTTGCCATATTTATTACAATGTTTCAGTCGTCGTTGTATGCTCCGGCCTTCTTCAGGTGGTTGGAATGTCAAACTGAACCCTTCATTTCGCTAACTGGAGTAGACTGTTCTAGTTCCGCATACCATGTTTAATGGATGTCAGTTTATCAGTTCTCTCTGTTAATTCCCCTTTCAAGTTCTCTACTTTTTAGTCCTGTCACCAGATCTAACCATGGCTCAGTGGATAAAGGTGTTGGTTAGATCCACTGACAGGACCCAAAGAGTGTGAGTTCAATACCCAGTTAAGGCAGTGGAGAACTTGGAGAGGGGAATTAACAGGAGATAACTGACATCCATTAAACATGGCACGTAGAACTAGAATAGTCTACCCCAGTGAGCAAAATAAAGGGTTCAGTTTGACATTCCAACCACCTGAAGAAGGTCGGAGTGTACAATGACCAAAACATTGTAATAAATATGGCGATAAAGATGAGGACAATAGTCTGAATAATGTAAATAGTGTAAATAAATTTTGAATCAAAAAACAAGCACTATCTGCTGAAAATTAAAAGAAACAAGGTTTGTTTGTAATATTTTATGTAACTGATAAAAAAAAATGTCATTTTTCATAAAATTTTATATGAAGGCTTACTTTAAAGCAAAGAAAAAGCAATTTTTTTTTTTTAGAATGAGCAAGGTAATTCCAGTCTTTGAACTTAATGTTAGAATTTCTGTCTAACTTTCTGGTATGAGGAATTATTTACAGTTAGACTAATATCCTCATCTTTGTTATCATAACACTTTGGCCTTTAAGTATCTGTCAATCCAGGTAACCATCAAGGAATTTTAAGTTGGACTCTTTATTTAATCTGTGGAGGTAGTGTTCTCATTTTAATGTTCATTTTTAGTACTTCTCAATAACTGCTAACCCTATTTCTGAGTCTACCCAGTCCTAGGATTGAACTCAAAATTACTATGCCACTAAATTCATAAATTAATGCTTTAATCCTCCAGGCTATTGTCCTGAGGGTTTAATTTGAAATTCTTTCAAGGTTACCTGGATCAATAGACACCTGAAGAAGGATAGAGGGCACCATGCCCGAAACATAAGAAAATTGAAGACATTACTCCAACTGTAAATAATGTAATTAGTGTTTCAAGGTAGCATAATGGTAAGCATTAAAGAAAACAGAATTAAGTACAAATTCTGACAGGCATTTTGGGTCCAATTGTTGGCTCTAATCTTGGAGAATGACTGCTAAAAATCCCCCCAACTCTAAATTTATAAAAAATCTTACAGATGCATGCTGGGATGTAGAGTGAATGGCCATGGTTAAATGTAAATAAATGACAGAACTGTCCAGGCAACAGAATTGACAAAGTTTGCAATAAGAAATAAGAAGAAAAAGAAAAGAACAGGACAAAAGAATACTATAAGGCAAACAAACAATATGTGCAAGGCAAATTAACAGTGATAAGGCAAAGCAACAATAGTATAGCAAAAAGTTCATAAAGTAAGAACTGATGTAGGCACATGAGCAAATTAGGATGAACAAATGCAGTGTTTTGACATAAAAGCAAGACAGACCAGGACTGAGTCATATGAAACTGAGAACCAGCCTATTTTATTGGCTAAGAAAAAATCCCAGCATGTATTTGTGTGCTTTTGCCTATAAATTGGGAAGGGGAAACTATTTTGCAGTCATTCCATAGAGGATTGGAGCCAACATGGAATTTCTTCCTAGTCAATAAAAATGGACAATTCTTGGTTTTACCCACACATTTTTATTTCTTGAAGTCAGGTGGATTTAACCATTTGACTTCATCTCTTTTGGGTCTTAACCACAGCGGTCCATATTAGTATAGTATGCCATGGTGCGAACACTACTTTTATTTTGTGAACTTTTTACTTAGTTACTGTCTTATAGTTGCTTTGCTTTTCCTTTCATTACAATGTCTTGTCTAGTATTATTTTGCTCTGTTCTTCCTCCTCTTATTGTTATTCAGAATTTTAGACTTAATAATGCCTTTTTCCTGTAAACCAATTATCACTAATGGTCTGGGAGAAGGCAAGAATCTACACCTCTTTCCTATTGTCAAATTAACGAAAATGGCCACATGGAGGATAAAAAGTGAGTGAGGGAGCACTTGGTTAAATGACTCTCCTGTAATTAGTACCTCAACAATAATAGCAATAAAAAGTTATTTCACCTGTAGATTTTCAAATATGCAAAGACAAAATTATCTGACATTGATCTGAGTTACCTGCCCCTTGTCAGAAATATTACAAATTCATCAGTAGATGCATATACAAGTTAAACATGCAAGAAAATTAAATTTTGCTTTTGTGAAGTAAGACCTAAAATTTTCACCTCTTGATTGTTTTTGCATAATTCATATTTTTGATAAGGACATGCATTGTAAACATTGTTTTCGACAACAGATTCTGCTGACAAGTAATTTCACTGACATTTCTTTTTCCTCATTCTAAGCTACCAACTGATAAAAAGAACTAGTATATTTATATTATTTATATTGGTAGCTCTCATAGTGAGGATCTGTAATAATGTATATAGAAATAAATATGATTATACATATAATAGCTGACCACTTGTATTAGAATATGCTTGTCAGCAGACGCCTCAGTTACAATTTCTGGGAGAGAGAGAGCACATCATTTGGATTGACCTACAATTTCAATATGGCATACACGCCCAAACCTCAGTCACAATGAGTTGTAACTTTGTGCTATCACAACCATTGATGAAAAATTCTGTATACACAACTTCACTTACAAAGCTTGGGTCAACCAATGGTTTGGTTTTCAGACACTTTCCAAAGGTGACATATACTGTGACTGATAAAATCAAGAATTCAAATGGCTCTAACCACTCAGCTATGCAGACATTAAACATACAGGGTGAATTCTATTCTTCCTTTAAAAGAAAAAGAAAGAAAGAAAGAAAAAGAAAGAAAGAAAGAAAAAGAAAAAAGAAAGAAAAGAAAAGAAAAAAGAGAAGAAAAGAAAAAGAAAAAAGAGAAGAAAAAGAAAAAGAAAACAGAAAAGAAAAAGAAAGAAGAAAACAGAAAAGAAAAAGAAAGAAGAAAAGAAAAAGAAAGAAGAAAAGAAAAAGAAAGAAGAAAAGAAAAAGAAAGAAGAAAAGAAAAAGAAAGAAGAAAAGAAAAGAAAGAAGAAAAGAAAAGAAAGAAGAAAAGAAAAAGAAAGAAGAAAAGAAAAAAAAGAAGAAAAGAAAAAAAAGAAGAAAAGAAAAAAAAGAAGAAAAGAAAAAAAAGAAGAAAAGAAAAAAAAGAAGAAAAGAAAAAAAAGAAGAAAGAACAAGAAAAGAAAAAAGAACAAGAAAAAGAAAAGAAAAAAGAGAAAAAGGAAAAAAAAGAATGGGAAAAAGGAAGAAAAAGAAAAAAAGAAGAAAAAGGAAAAAAAGAAGAAAAAGAGGAAAAAAGAAAAAAGAGAAAAAAAAAAGAAAAAGAAAAAAGAAGAAAAAAAAAAAAAAAAAAGAGGAAAAAAAAAAAGAAGAAAAGAGGAAAAAAGAAAAAAGAGGAAAAAAGAAGAAAAGAGAAAAAAAAGAAGAAAAAGAGGAAAAAAGAAGAAAAGAGGAAAAAAGAAGAAAAAGAGGAAAAAGAAGAAAAGAGGAAAAAGAAAAAAGAGGAAAAAAGAAGAAAAAGAAAAAAGAAGAAAAAGAGGAAAAAAAGAAGAAAAAGAGGAAAAAAAGAAGAAAAAGAGGAAAAAAAGAAGAAAAAGAGGAAAAAAAGAAGAAAAAGAGGAAAAAAAGAAGAAAAAGAGGGAAAAAGAAAAGAAAAGAAAAGAAAAAAAAAAGAAACAAACTCTTACCTTGGTTGAATAAAATTCTTAATATTTATAATTGCTTCCATCACTTGTTATACATACTATAAGGATCCATGTAGGATTTTAAAAGGGAAGGGTAGTCCTGGACATTTCACTTTTTTAGTTTTAACATTTTTCCTGAAGTTTTCTAACAGAACACTCAAAGATAGCGAATTACTCCAAGATGAAAAGTGATAACTTTATGGTTTGTTTATTTTGTTTCATGGTATATCAACACCTCAATGGGTCATTTAAGGATTTTTAGGATAAGTTCATATGAATAGAATATGTATTCTTTGTAAGAAATCAGTTTGGTTTGGTTTATATAGATTTACGGCATATCAACCTCAATGGGTTATTTAATACCGACAAGATTTTTAAGATAGGTTCATATGAATAAAATAAGTATTTTTAAGAATTCAGTTTAGAGTTCAGGTTTCATTGATATGTTTTTGTAAAGAGGGTTTTTGTCAATAGTCAAATGTATTGCTGGTAATATTTTTTTTTTCAAAAATGTGTTGCTGATATTTTTTACTATAAAAGTCTATTTTTATACTTTCATAGTGTTTTGACCCCAGTTTGGTGTTTGACTATATGCTCAAGGCTGGGACCCTAACAGATGCTATCACTCCAGGTCAGAGTAGACCTGGGAACAACAGCAATTAAGAAGTGGTTCCATGCTCCTCAAAACCTCCTGATCAGAGGCCTTGCAGCTGGATGTAGTTCATCATCATACCCAGGACACAATACTTTATGCAAATCCACTGGAGATAATGCAAGCAAAATTTTAGCAAAGTAAAGTATTGTCTTCCTACTAATCTGCCGTGTGAAAACTGAACAATTAAAAACATTGATATATTTTGTGTTTGGTTTTATTAAATTAACTTGGACATGTGTGTTAATGCAGCATATGTTTATCACACCATTTTGTTTTTTTTTAATAATACAATTAAAGGGACACAACTCTCTAACATCTAATAGTTCCTGTTACATCCTTCTTATCAAATGAAAAAAATTACAAACTTCAAATTACAGTGTGTTTCAAAATAAAATTATCTATGTTCCACCTCTCTGGAGATAATAATAAAATTGTCATTTAAAATTTTTTTTTTTTATAGTTTTTAATTTATTTACATAAAATAAATTCCTTAAATTTTGTAAGGGGCTTTCATGCTTTCCTAGGGCGGTCCAATGGTGTTGTTGAATGAATATTTTAAGTCACCATTTTTTTTTCCGTGTTTCTTTTACTTTTAAAATAAGAAAGCAGAATTCACAGAATTTTTGGTATTTTCATTTGCATTATCTTTTTAAGTCTGGTTGTTTCACTGCATATCGCTCATCGCTGCCATGATATATTTTGTGTTAATGTAACTTATATTTATCATCCCATCTTGTTTTCTTATAATAATAAAATTAAAGGGACATAACTCTCTAACATTTAACAGCTCCTGTTACAAACGTTAAACAATGACAATACTTAAAACTACAAAGCTCTGTCCACCTTAACTGCTCTGTGCTTTCTCTGTTTAATGTTGACTTTTTTTTGAGAAGTGTCTTTCTTCTGCCTGCTCATACCAATGATTCTTGTGTTTACTTAGAATGTGCAGTTGGTGTAATGGTTAGTGACTGAGAACAAAAACAGGGATTATTACAGAAAATACAAAAGATCTGTGGTCTACATAACATCAGGACAACCTTCAAAAGTGGTTTGACACTTTGCAGATACCTCTTCCGCAGACCCCTCCCATAGAGGAGAACATGACTAAAGACTGTGTATACACTATCCCATGCAGCTGTGGTAAGAAGTATAAAAGAGAAACATGCCACCCCTTAAGGTAAGGCTGCAACACATGGGGAAATAGAAAAATCAGGTGTAGCTGACTACATATGGTGGGATAAAGGAGATCACCACCCCCTGTAGGATGAGGTTGAAATAATAGACAGAGAACATCACTGGAAAATACAAAAACTTAAGGAATCAGCACATATGCTAGGTCACAAAAATCTCCTAAGCCAGCCAAGCATAGAAATGAATACAATATGGGAATCAGTAATACAGAGTGCTATAGAAAAGCAACAATAACAAAATTGCAGTATGAGCTCTGGTAAAAAAAAAAAAGGGGTTCCTGAGACAAAGATTTTATAAGTCCCAAAAATTCATACACTGATGTCTGTGGATGGAAGTGTTGATTGGATCCAGTGACTTGACCCAAAGAGTTGTGAGTTCAATACCTAGCTATTGCAGTGGTGAACAGAAACTTAGAGTTGAGTTAAAGGGAGATAACTGAGACATTCGGAAGAGGCATGGCACATGGAACTAGAACAATCTACCCTGGTGGGCAAAATAAAAAGTTTGGTTTGAAATTTCAATCACCTGAAGAAAGCTGGAGTACACAATGGCTGAAATGTTGTGAATATGGCAATAAAGATGAGGACATCAGTACAAACAATGTAAATAATTACAATACCTAGTATAGACAGATATTCTTAAGACTTTGCTTAGCTTTTGTAAGGCATTTTTCACTATTCTAATGCATCTTCGGATTTCGATATATTTTTCTGTCCTCAGTTAAAACAGATATTTAAATTTTTGTATTTGCTTGATTTTGATTCTTTTTTTTTTCTCTAATTTGTAGTTTTCATCTTGGGCTGTTCCTTTTTCTGACAACCATACATTCTGTCTCCTTACAATTGATGGTTAGTCCTTTCTTCTTGCTTTCTTTTACTCCCTCCAATTCACAGTTTGCATCTTGGGCTATACATTCATTGATGTTTAGTCCTTTCTTTTCACTTTCTTTTAATATCTTGTATAGGACTTCCTGTAGTTTTCATTTTGTACCTGCTATCAATTGTATGCCATCTGCATATCTTATGTTAAGATTGTGGCCATCAATAATGAATCTTGGCAGTACTTCTAATTCTCTTGTAATCACACAGTAATAAAAGAATAAGTCTGGTGAGAAGACCCATCCTTGTCTTAGACCTCTTTCTATTTTTGTATATTTATTGAATTCATTTTCTATCCATATGCAGGCAGTTTTTTGCCAGTATAGGTTCTGGATTATTCTAATATTTTTCCCATATTAGATGAAAAAGAAAATGTCTCATCAATGGTATGTCATGATGGTAAGAGTGAAAAGAAAGGGGGGGACTATTCTCTTGTGCAGCAGTGAAAGTGAAAGTTATATCAAATCAACTTTGACAGAGGCTTATAGAGAAACCCTATCATCATGAAAGAATTTACAGTGAAGCTGACCAGTTGCAAACAGAATTTTTTGTCTTCTGAATAACTTTGTGGTGATGACACTTTCCTGGCAAATAAATGAAATTCAGAAATCTAAATTATCTACACTGTTGGTGTGTAACTAAGAAACAAAACTATTTTTTATTAGGCAGAAAATTAGTTTTAGTAATTATTGTAAAGTACTCACTCGGTGGGATGCAAACGATTCAATCTGGTTGTTTTTACTACGGACAAGACCAGGCACCTCTTTGAAGATATTTGCAGCACTGTCTATGTCCCCTAGAGAACCATGGCACACTGAAATAATAAAAAATTGACCAAAGATTTAAAAGAAAGAAATTGGATAAATGTTTTTTTAAATCATTACTTTTTAAAATGATTTTAATAATGTTGTCAAAAACTGGCCTGCTGCAGCAATTTAGTAGAGCAAATTTCAAATTTCTACTAAATACAAAACATCTTCATCACAAGAAATAATACCCCATTTATGTCTTGAAAATATAAAAATTTTATTATTTTAAAAAATGTTAGCCTCGTACATATTTAAATGTCAAAGTTTTTTTTTTTTAAGACATTTTTTTTTTTTTTATGAGAAGTGTATTTTTCTGAAAGGCAAATGGTTTGTGTAAAAATTGTTACATTTTTATAACTTTTTTGGCTCAGCAGTTGTAACATCCTAGTAACATCCTGAATAGTGGGGCCGAGGTGAGCCTAATTTTTAAAATAAATAGAGCTCAGGTGAGTAGAGGCCAGGAGAAGACTTGACAGCAGGGGGGGACAAAGCAAGGTGTCAACATCAAAGAAGGCATTTGACATCAAGAAGAGAACATCAAAGATGACACCAGTTACTGGCCAGCTGCAGGGAGACTAAAGAATTTTGAAGTTCAAGTGAAAATTCTCCTGTGGTTGGGCAGCCAAGAATGAAAAGAATCCTAAGAAATTTTCCTAAGTATATATTGTGTGAAGTTAAAAGGGTCTTTCCAAAAAATTCTTATATGTCCCAGACACACTTGTGAGGCAAGTGAAAGTAGGTTTTTCTGGGTTTTTGTTCTCAATGATTGATGCACCTTTGTTTTTTACTGCCTTGTATTGTTTTCTCTTTGGATCATTTTCAAAATCTTTGTCTTTTTTCCCCAATTTGTAATTTTTTCCATATTTTTCTGGTAATCCTTTTATCTGAAATTGTTATCCTGACTTAATAGGTGCACAAGAAGAAATTTTGCACAAACTTTGTATATTTTTCTTAATTGTAGAATAAATGTATTTTTCCTTTTAAAGTTTTACGCGGTAGTTGTCTTGCTTTGTAATTTTGTGCCTATTATTATGTCTTACTATTTCTACTAAGTTTTTGTGTTTGGTACAAGAACTTGGATTTGGTAGGAATAAAATTTTTATATATAAGAAAAAAAAGCATCTACCAAACAAATGATGCCTTATTAATTTGGTTATAGAAACCCATCAAAAGGTGAAGTTTGCAGTTATACAGCTACATTCTTATTGATTTATTTCATACCATATTGTTTGTTTCCTACCTACTACTAGTAGATCTAATAGCCTTATGTTGACTAAATTATTTTAACTGAAGCATTTTAATTCTTTTTAATTTTGGTTTGCAATAGTTTGCTTAAGAAGTTCAAAGAAAAAAAAAAGATTAAGAAAAGAATTAATTTGGCTCAAAAAGTTAATCCTCTTTAACTTGGTATATTTTTTTTCTTTTATAAGATCTTATTAAAATTAATATTTAATTTGGTAAAGCCTCAAATCACTTCCCATCCTGTTAACAAGGGTATATGAAATGTTATATGAATTTTAATCTTTGAATTAATTAACCATGTTAGAAGAGTTTTAATAAAAAAAGAAAAAACATCTCAACTATGAATTCTGAAACAAAAATGACATGAAAATAAACATGAAAGTAACTTTTTTATTTTATTGTTTAGAAATAAAGTAACATTTGTTATACATACATTCTTAAGACTATAGAAGTAGGAATAAAAATTGACTCTTAAAAATGTGTGGTTTAGCAGAAGGGTCAGGGTGAATGTTTTTTTCCACCTCATTTACAATATCTAAAAATGTTGGATTAAATTTACTGAGTTTAATTATGACATTAACTTATACATGAGAGAGGGAAGATGACATTAATTTTTATATACCAAAACAATGTTATGAAAATTAATGACAGAGTACAAAAAATTTTTTGTGTGATGCATTTCATCCTTTAAGTGATGTTCCTGTTGATGTAACAACACAATGACATGCAGGGAAGGGTCGCTGAAATTCCAAACTTAAGTTTTCTTTCTTTTTTCTTTTTTTAACCACTATAATAGTACCTAATCACTAGAATTGGTAAATATATAATAAAAAAAAAATATATTTCAATTTTTTATGGACCCACAGACCAAAGTTAAGCTATAAAATATATAGATGTTTTTTTTTTAAGAATGTAAATAAATTTTCAATTTAATTTTCAAATTCAGAGAATTATAAAAAATATGTTATAATATTGCCAGCCATGAATGTAAATAAAATGAATGCCCATTAAAAGCAGAACTGGATAAACTTTTTAATTTAAAATAGTGCTAAGTTGATGACGTTCATTCACTTGGTCAGTAATTCAAATTTAAATGCATAAGATAAACCCTCTTTTTGATTCACTAGTAGGTTGGATAGATGTAGTGATATGAATCCAATTGATTATTAAAGACAAGATATTGCTCTATGAGAAGGTGTAATTTTCATCCTTTTTTTTCTCAAAAGTTGAATTTCTCTGATATTTCATCCACTAAAAGTTTTTTTGTGAAAGACAACTGAAAGTCTTATCTTAAGCCCACCAAATTGGCGAGTATCCTTTTTTCTCTTTAAGATGGGACGACATTGATATATGTAGAGACAATCAAATCCAAGCACAAGTTAGAAAACACCACTTTGAAATTTTCAGCTTGGAAAATGAGGAAAACAAGGACTTGTCATTGAAATTGTAACAATTTAAAGAAACATGGAATAAAAAAAATAATCATATCACACACAAGAAGTAATTGTATCTTGATAAAAAGAAAAGATTAAATTTGTTTTACATGCTAATTTCATCAAAATAACCTTGGAAATAAATGAGATTTCATCAGTTGAACTTTAAGGAAATTTAATTATTTTGACCTGTTTTTGCATTGTAAATGAGTGAGGTTTACAATATTTAATATTATAGTCATTCATATTTATTTTTGACTTCAGATATATAAAAATTTGCCATGGTTTATAACCAAGATAAAACATGGAGAAAGAAAAGAGATATTGGAGTAGTAATAATATTGAGCATTATGAGCACAACAATGGAAATTATGAAAAAAGTTGAGTAGAGATTACAAAGCAATCGAAAAAGAAATTGAAAACATTGACAAAAACAAGAAAAAGATTTCACAAAAAGAGATACAAGGAAAAAGGATGAGAACAATCAAGAGAAATAGATTTACTGGTAAGAAGAAGCATGTGCGATGAATACAAACAGATAGAAAATCTGCAGAATATTAAGACATAAAAGCAACTATCACCTTTAAGTATAAAGACATAAAAGCAACTATCACCTTTAAGTGGAAATAAGTGGAGAAAAGGAATACATGAAAACTGATTTCTCAATAGTAATTTTTAGAATTTAAATAACCTGCATTGGATAAATCAGATGGTAGAGTGAGAGGTTGGGTCCTTCATAGTTAATAGTCAACTAACATGACTTAGGAGACAAAAAAGAGGAAGGTGGAATAATGTCAACATGACTTAGGAGACAAAAAAGAGGAAGGTGGAATAATGTCAACATGACTTAGGGAGAGGAAGGTGGAATAAAAATGACTTGGGAGACAAAAAAGAGGAAGGTGGAATAATGTCAACATGACTTAGGAGACAAAAAAGAGGAAGGTGGAATAATGTCAACATGACTTAGGAGACAAAAAAGAGGAAGGTGGAATAATGTCAACATGACTTAGGAGACAAAAAAGAGGAAGGTGGAATAATGTCAACATGACTTAGGAGACAAAAAAGAGGAAGGTGGAATAATGTCAAATGACTTAGGAGACAAAAAAAAGAGGAAGGTGGAATAATGTCAACATGACTTAGGAGACAAAAAAAGGAAGGTGGAATAATGTCAACATGACTGGAAGGTGGAATAATGTCAACATGACTTAGGAGACAAAAAAGAGGAAGGTGGAATAATGTCAACATGACTTAGGAGACAAAAAAAAGGAAGGTGGAATAATGTCAACATGAGGAAGGTGGAATAATGTCAACATGACTTAGGAGACAAAAAAGAGGAAGGTGGAATAATGTCAACATGACTTAGGAGACAAAAAAGAGGAAGGTGGAATAATGTCAGCTAACATGAATTAGGAAACAAAAAGTGGAAGGTGGAATAAGATTTTAGTAGTTAGTAAGCAGTAAAATTATAGGTCCCTTTAATGTTCCTGCCTTCCTGGCACCAAGATAAATGTAGGCAATTATTGCAAGCTCTTAGACAATAAGTCTTTTAGATTGGTAAAGGTCATAACAAAGACATTTTAAAATGAAGAGTAGATTGATACAAGACAATGTTTCTTTATATTCTGCAAAGCTGACAATTATTGAACTTTGCTAGAAAGAGTTTCAAAGATACCATGATAGAATGGCTTCTAGGCACTTCAGATATTTATCTAATAGAAAACATGTCTATCATGAATATATATATATATATATATATATAAACCTAACTTGAATAATGTTTTTTATTGCTACTCAGAGATATTCTGTAATTGAATAGAAGCAATAAAAACTTGCAAGTAATATTAAAGTTGAAACAGAAGAAGAGTTAATAAAATGATTGTATAGATGACAGAGAGCTATAAAATATCAAAGAGACCATATTAACATAAAATAATAATTTATTCAGGTATATGGGATATTATGTTAATGAAAAAAAAAAAAAATTCTGTGACATTTATTTTTGCATTTATTCATAAATAAGAAATTATGTTGCACCTGTAAAACAAGTTTTTTTTTAATAGGGGAATATATTATAAGCTGACACTCATTTAATGTTTATATATGATTACCATCAAAATTTTACCAATAACAGTTTGTCAATATCAATTCTATTGTGAAAACATTGACTTGCATGTATAAACATACAAATGTTCAAATTATATTGCTATGTCTGGCAACTGGATTCTGCACCATGCCATACAAGCAAGAGAACCCAGTCATGGCATCTTGGAAAACACTGATCATTCTGATAAAAACTCTTTAATGGTGAGGGCATCAGACTTAATACAGAGGCCTACATCAAGTGTCTTGAGGATGTAGTGCTGCCTTGGGTCAAGAGAGTGGCAGCTGGAAAACACTATGTCTGGTAACAAGACTCTGCACCATGCCACACAAGCAGGAGAACACAGTCATGGCTGTCAGATAATTTACCCCTTACAGCTGACCACCTAACTCCCTAGACTACAACCCCCTTGATTATATTTGAGGCACAGTTGAGCTACAAACCAACAAAACTTTTGTAAACACCAAAGATGAACTGAAGGCAAGGATTTACCAACTTAAACAAGGAGACTGTCAAGAAGAGTTGTAGGAGATTCAGAAGTCGTCTAGAGGCCGTGGTTGAAGCCAATGGCAATTATATTGAATAAATTTACTCTTTAGTATTTCATGATATTTTTGTGTAATTTTGGTAAATATAAATGTTAAAATGAGATGTCAGTATTATTTTCATTTTTATGTAATTTAGATGACAATTTATCCATTGTACACACACACTATATATATATATATATGGATTCCCCCACCTAAAATGACAGATGAAGGTTCAATAAATTCTAATAGCACCATGTCCTGCACTGGACACAAACACACGCAAATGTTTAAATTAATAAAGAAACTATTGCAATTTGGTACATATTTTACCATAAACTACTCATTTGTATATCTTCATCTGTAATTTTTTTCCTCAAAGGGAGATAACTCTAAAAGATTGCTTGCACTGGCAATCATGCTGTTCTTTACATATTGAGTGGTAAAAAAACAGTTTCAGCAATGTATTCAACACTAATTGATGAACTCAACTAGCTTTAAATTTAGCCTGTAGCCATTTACCTAAGATATTTTTTATTCTTTTATTCGCAAGCCCAGACAAACTTTTTATTAATCGGTTCATCCCAATCAAGGCAATAATGCCACTAAGATGCAATAGGCTACTGGGAGTGAAAGAGAATGAGAAAACTTTAAAAGAAACTGGAAACCCAATCCTGAACAGAAAACAAGAGATAAACCTCTAACCTTGTTCAAAAGACTAGAGAGGAGTGTGAATTGGGCAATTGACAAACCTATCTACTCCTATTGAAGGAAATAACAGTAATTAAAATTTCAGAGTTTAGTTGGAGACATTATAAGTAGACTTTAGAAGGAACTGGAAACCTAGTCTGAAACAGAAAACAAGAGAGAAACCTCTACTCCTATTCAAAAGACTGGGGAGGAGTGTGAACTGGAAGGTGCATCAAATATATACAAGAGTTGCTCTGAAAGAAATGTCTCCTACTTTCATTAGGTTGGTTCACATCACCATAGACAGATAATGGCTAAAGAGATTGTTGAACTTTGCTGCCAATAACCCATATTTTTTGTCTTCTTACAGATAAGTCTGTCAAAATAGCATACAAAGCGTGAAAGTGAATTCATCCATAAAGAAAAAAAAAATCAACTACTGACATGCATCATCACTGGCTGAATGTATATGGCGACCAAACAGTGGATGTAAGTACAGTTAGGCAGTGGGTAACATGTTTTCTGTATTGTGTACATTAAGACACATTCTTGGCAGCCATAGGGTTTTAAACAGGTGAATAGCTGTTGAAAAATGCACGGCCAATGATAATTGATGAAAGAAAAATAATGTTTTGTAATTAAAAACTGTCTTTATCCAGTGGCATTATTGTGTCCCCTCTATCTGCTGTAATTTCCAATGAAATAAAAAAGAAGCATTACTTTCAGAGCACCCTTTGTATCACATGGTTTGTGTATATATAAGTATTATTTACTTACCAGCCAAAAGATAAGAATAGTAACACTTAGACCATTTCGATTCTTCACAAAGTCTGAAAAAGAAACAAAATTCAACAGTAAAATTCATACTTTTATGGACTGAATAAAATTTATGGAAAAAAAACCTGAAGTCTCTGTTTTGAAGGACCAAAAATGAATTTAAGCAAAAAATGTAATCATACTTATTATAAAACCCAGGTTGTGTGTGTGTCTGTTCGTTTATATATTGGATTGGATTTCCTATATTTTTCAACCGATTTCAACAAAACTTCACAGGACTACATAAAATTACCTTGTGGTGGTTCTGACAGCGCCAAAAATTGGAAAAACAATTGTTTTTGCATGAAATCAATTTGAAAACACGATTAAGAGTCATCACGAGAATGAAAGGGGTCAACTCATATCGAGTTATACTCATTATAAAACCCAGGTTGTGTGTGTGTTTGTGTGTATTCATTTATATATGGGATCGGATTTCCTACATTTTTCAACCGATTTCAACAAAACTTCACTTTTTTTTTGGCATGTAGTGTTTCTTATTGTCTTGCACACTTTTTTCTTTATTTTTACATTCAGAATGCTTTAAAAATTCCATTTACAAGACAATTGTTTATAATAAAATTCTATTCAATCAGTAGAGACTCATAATGATTGAAAACAATGTTTTTGTTTGAGTTTGACCAATTCGTAAAAAAAATAAAAAAAAAATTAAGACATGCGTGTCCGTCAACCTTAAACAATAATCTTTGTCAATTTTATTTTTCAGTCTTTATGATGGTCGATACTTGATCTATCTCTTATTGTTACATCCCCAGGCAACGCCGGGCTCTACTGCTAGTTCAGAGTAAATACAGAATTAAAGTAAAATCTATTAATACATCAGAGTGCATTAAATTTTTTTTTTTAATTATTTCACCCCAAGCCAGGCAATAAAGCCACTAAGATGCAAAGAGTTACTGAGTGCAAGAGAAAATGAGAAAAAGAAAACATTAAAGGAGAGAACAATAGAAGGACAGTAATTCAGAAGATAACAATTGATATTGCATCTAAATTTTTGAAGTTTTTAATAAGCCATGTAAGCACAGATAGAAAAGTCCTTGTGTGAGATTCAAACATTTTTCTTTTTAAATTGAATTTACACCAAGCAAAGTAATAAATCCACTAAGACACAAAGGGTTACTGGGTGGGAAAGAATTAGGAAACAGAAAACATTATGAAGGAACAATAGAAGAATAAACAGGAAGATAGTAGATAATGATTGACCAATTTAAATTTTCAACTTTATCTACAGTCTTCCAGATTACTCTTCTATGGCTCATTCATAATGTTTTCTGTTTTCTAATTCTTTCACACACAGTAATCACTTGTGTCTTAGTGGCTTTACTGCCTTTGCTGTCTGAGGTGAATTCAATAAAAAAAAAAAGTTTGAATCTCACATAAAGACTTTCTTTTTGTGTTACACTACTTAATAACACCTGTTATATCATAATCTAGTAGTTTGGATAAAAAAAGGAACATAGAAATTAAAATGAAGAAATAGCCAAATCTTACTTTATCTGAGAAATTGAAGTAATATTACTACTAATAAAAAACAACACAAATAAGAAAGAAATCTTCTATGCACCTTGTTCCTTCATTATAACTCACTCCAAGTAGTTATAATAGTATTTCTAGCTTAGATTACTCACTGTGAGATCATTAGAATTTTGCTCACTAACTCTAACAGACTTCCACTGACTCACTTTGAGTTCTTTATTTAAGGCGTCTTGCCTAGTTCATTTGTGTTACTAGTGGTGTCTTATTTACTTCATAACACCCTTCAAGAATATGGATGATCATGACTCTCCACAATTTACTGTTCATTGGAGCTCTTAGTAAACTGTCTTTTTGCTATCTCTCCTAATCTCTGTTCTGCTAAACATTTACACAAGCCTGTTAGGTAGGTTATGTACTCATTTAATATATCCTGTCAGTATCAAAATTTCTAAGCCTTCTTTCTTCATTATGTGTTCTCTTTCTGTCATTAAGTAAAAATGTCCTTTTGGTTTTCGCTTTCTCTAAAACTTCATCATTACTCACATGTTTAGTCTATGGTATTCTCAGAATCCTTCTACTAAGTAAAAATTAGTAAAAACTGACAATGTTTCCTCTAATAATTAACTGAAATAATTATTGTAAGAACAATAAGAAAAAAAAACAGACTGTTACAGCATAAGTTGTAATATAAGAATAATAATATAAGGCATGGGCAACCTTTTATGAACAGTGGGCTGTATGAGATATTGCTCATCATAATGTGGGCCACACTATTAACAACATTCAAGGCAATTTTTCCTTGCAGGCAACTCAGCTATTTTACCTACAGAAAACTATATATGTAAGCATTTACCTTAGAAAAGATTTTTCTATAATTAAAAAACTGAAGTCTTGGTATAATATTATCACTGATAATAGTGATTAACATACACCATTGCATGTGATTTTTTTCTAATTTATTCATTTGAAAATACAAAATTAATTTTTTTTTTTATGATAAAAAATATATTTCTTCTCCAAAGCAAAAAACAAATATTAACATTTTCTGTTTTTAAAGCAACCTTCCTTAGTGAAAATTGCCAATGGTTTAAAATGTTGTACTTAATCATCGTTTTTGTATGTGGTTATGGATGAGAGAGAGTGTGAGTGAACAAGTGAGTATGAAATGAAACAAACAAAATTTTAATAAACATTTTTCTCATTAAATTTAGCGTGCAGCCTGCAATTTGATCAGGACATTTTGTTATAGTCATAAATTTTCTAAAAACATTAATTGTAGCAATAGCAGTGCCAACAGTCATACTAAGAATAGTTTTTGAAGTATGTTGTTTCAATTCTGTCTATAATGTCAGTACTTATAAATATATTTACATAAGTTGCACTGTTATATTTGAAGAGATTGAAGAAAAAAAAAATAGAAAGAAAATGGGATGTGATTCTCACATGGAGTCACGTCTAATGTCAGACTTATCCACCTATTATAACGACTATTGATGTCATGGCTGAAACCTAGACAATTCATTCTCTTCCATTGAATCTCATAAAAAAATAAATAAAACAAAAATATTTTTCACATCTTATTATTGTCACCTGTCAAGGCTGATAGCTTTTGCTGCTACTACCTGAACAGGTAAGAATAAAAGAAAACTGACCAAGATTTTACTTGTGTTCATTCCATACAGGTAGTTGGAAATTTTCCAGTCCTATATGTAAAGGGTCACATATGAATGCCTGCCTTGTATGTTTTTATTAGACCATAAACACTTGGCATGTGGGCACATCAATGTGGTGTAATGGTTAGCAAGCTTATCAAGTTAGATCAATGATGACTGTGTAGTGAGTGCAATCCTCACTGGGTGCTCCATACTTTTGGCCTTGTGCCACATCTAAGCTATGCTTAGTAAATCATTGGGGTCCTTAGATATGATGTAATGGTTAGCAAGCTTGTCTCACTAGATCATTTATGACTGAGTATTGAGTTTGATCCTCACTGGGTGCTCTACGCTTTTGGCCTTGTGCCATGTCTAAGCTATGCACAGGAAAGGGCACCTTGTCATGGTGTAATGGTTAGCAAGCTGATCTCGATAAAACAATTACCACTTAATAGTGACTTCAATCCTCACTGGATAACCCACACTTTCGGCCTTGTGCCACACTAAGCTACACTTAGAAAATCATCATAAACACTGGTCATTTTATGATGATATTCAATCAATTTTTGACAAGTTTTGCCCATTATTAATTAACTTTTGCTATTATTAATTAACTTTCTAATCAACTGTTGAACTTTTTTGTCTCCACAATTATTTTACATTTGAGTTTTTCATAAACGTTTTTATCATTGTTTAAAGACTTATATTTTCATTTTCGGTATGCTTATTCATTATAACAATGCTGCCTAAGTAATTTTAAGAGAAAATAATCAAGATGCTGACATTCCACATTCAGTTAAGTGCCATATGTGATACATGCTTGGACAATCATGTATCTTTCAATTCATGACTGACAAGACAGATTTTTTTTCCCAGCAGTAGGCTGCCATTTCTTTCTGCAATAGACTGGTGGCCACCCACAGCTAAATAACCCAGTCTGTCCTACTATTCAACCCATAGTTGGTGGGAGAAGAGATGAATTCATACGTTTCCCAAGGTTATTTGTGCGCAAGTAAATCTAATGAACTCAACTGGAATTCAAACTTGGCTCTCCAAGTTCTCACTCTGAATCAATATCCATTACCCCACAATGCACATTCCACACTACTTCAAACAAAAGGTTAGGAAGGAAACCTCCATCAATACTGGAAATAGCAATAACAACTACAGGACTTGAAAAATCTATTTTCCTGAAGAATTATTTTAAGAGAAAGGTTTTATAAATTTCAACCAAAAGAAGTAGGCTGCTCAGTCAATGAATGCCAAATGTTTCCTTATAAGGAAACAGCTAATATTACCATTACTATTACCTCCTTTGTCCAAGGCAGTAATGAAAATGTCCTTATTTTAGCCAAAATTTCCTTTATGCATTTTATAGTAGTATTATTTTGTTGTCAGTTCCTAAAATGACTGTAATTAACACTTGTGTGAAACTTATGTTAAAATTGGTATTGTTATGCTTATGATTATTAATAATTGTGTTAAGATTTTTTTTAATTGCAAAATTTAGTCAAAAAAAAAAAAAAAAAAAAAAAAAAAAAAAGGTATAGAATTCTGTTTTGGATAATTTTGTGTTAGATAAATTTTTCTATGAGATCTCACTGTTCTATGCCTTTCCATCAACCATTTTAACATGGAGTCTGTAGTTTGCGTTGTGGTCTGTAGATTTGGTTGTTATTGCTAATGTTTCATTTCTTGTCGTAAATGGTCCGATTAATGATTACTTAGGAGATTTTTTTTCCCATTTCGTCAGTTCATTCAGTATTAATCTTTATATAATATATATATATATATATATATATATATATATATATATATATATATATATAATGATGGGAGTAAGATGAAGAGAAATAGAATTTTCTCTTTGACCTGTGACAATAAATCACTCAATCAGTCATCTCTTCATCCAACCATCTATCCATCAGATTAGTCAGTTATTCATACGTGTGTACGAACACATGAGAGAAAAAGAATAGTCAGAAGAAGCAGGGCAATACTGTTGATAGAATCAGAAATAATGACTCATCTAGGTCAAATAAAATATAGTGATTCCAGATGGAGAAAGTCCTAAGTAGTTCATTGATAGAATCACATTTGATTATTCAAATCAAAACATCAAGTGATTTCAGGTAGAAACCTCAAATTGTAAAGGTCATAACAAACTACTTTCTTCTGTTATTGTCTATTAATATTTTATTAGTAGTAGTATTTTTATTATGTTTTATTATTATTTTTAACTTCATTATTGCTGCTTTTTATCACAATATCCTTCCTTCATCTTATACATCCTTCATTATTACTATTATTACATTACTAGTTTTATTCCATCTTAGTATTGTTGCTTTTTATCCCAACAATCTGGCTCTATACAATCTTCATTATTACTATTATTTTATTACTAGTTTTATTCCATCATATTATTATTACTTTTTATCACAACACTTTGGCTCTATACACTCTTCATTATTATTATTATTTTATTACTAGTTTTATTCCATCTTATTATTGTTGCTTTTTATCCCAACACTCTGGCTCTATACACTCTTCATTATTACAATTATTTTATTACTAGTTTCATTCCATCTTATTGTGATTTTTTTTTTAAAATAAAGATTTTGTTTTCAGTTAAGGTAAAAAACAAAAAGATTTTTTAATATTTTTTAAATTTTGAAATGTGCTCCATATGATTTATGTTTTTAATTTTCATCAATAGACATTTTGATTAGAACAAAAGGTCCTCAAGTTTATATGAAAAAATCTTATTCACATTGTTGTTTTATTTACACCATTTACATGCAGACTATTGTCTTCCTCATCTTTGTTATTGTCATCACAATGTTTGGACCATTGTGAGCCAGGTAACCTATAAATGCCCATCACACAAAAAGACCAGTACCAGCCACCTGATGACTGTATGCAGTAGTGCACACAAAACAGGTAGTCATGACATGTCATGTGTACATTAGGTCATCTTATATGAGTAATGGATTGTGACTCAGATTCGAGGAATCAGAGAGTTAAGTTTGAATTTCAGTCGAGTTCATTACATTCACTTACATGCTAATACCCCTGGGAAAGGTATGAATCCAATTCCCCCCCCCCGTTATGGGAAAATAGGACAGACTGGGTTCTATGTCTTGGTTGGCAGTCAGTCTAGGAGAAGAAAAACTCTGAATTCAAATCAGCCTGGAGAGGGTTGGGCTCCATCGGGCTATCTTGCTCAAGGCACACAACATCTGCTGCAGCCGCAGTGCATGTGATGTCTCTATAACCCTGATTTGTTTCGGGGTTTGTGATATATAAGCTGGATAATGATAGAAATATCTTGAGGCATATTTAGGTAGGATTCAAAATAGAACTCTTTCAGTATATTTTTCATTTGCTAACACTTCAACTAGAAATCTTTGCAAAAATTAAACTTTGCTGGATATAAATTGTGATATCAGAGGAAACTTGGCAGACTTTACTGCTTTATATGACTGATTTGTATTTTGCAGGTTATCAACCTTTTGCAAGTTATTTAAAGCCTGCAAATATGTTTGGATTTTAAGAATTTATTTTTGGTGATAATGATTTTCTGATACAAGTCCTACTATTTAACTTATAGTGGAGGGGGAGGGGAGAAGAGGTGGATTTATACCTTTCCTAAAGGTACTAGCATGTAAGTTTCTAATTTCTTATTCCAAGCCATTATCTATTATACGACCTGTAAATCCAAGCTTATGGAACCTGGTATTCCAAAGGTTCACCCATCTCGGTACTAACCAGAGTCAATGTTGCTTAACTTCTGTGATCAGATGAGAACTGGTGTTTCAGCATGGTATGTCTGTAAGCCTTATTGGTTAAACAATCTATACTTTTAAAACTGACAAGAAATAACAAATACACAATACATCATGATTTGAAAAATCACTAAAATATGCTGCTTGTACCTCATGATGAACATCAAACATAGAATGCAAGTTGAAGTTGTTTTGACAATAAAAATAATAAAAGTCAGACTTGATTTTAAATAGCCTCTGAGCAAACTGTCAATCCTAGATGCTCGTTTCAATAGTGCAAAGTGACTACTAGTAAATCTCTGGGATCATAATCTATAGGCCGTCCTGATGGTGTGTCACTTAGAACTTTTAGAATGGCTTGCGTGCTTCAATGACCCCCATAGCTATGTAGGCAGGGGCTTTGGCCCTTAGTAGGTCCAACTAAGCTCAACAGGTCTGTCGGGTAGGAACCGGATGAAAGACACTGGTCATCCAGGTTGTGGGTTGTGCAGTAGGCTAACAACCTACTCACTTAAAAACTACCTTGTTGCAGAAACCTCACCGATATCTTCAAACAATGACATGGCCAAGGAAAAGCCCCGCAAAGTGGAGTATACGACACGTGCTGGTGAAAATCACCAAGGAAGGCAGCCGGCATGACATGGGCTGAGCTGAAGTGTATTGTCCGGAACCGCGTCTGTTGGAGAGGTGTTGTTGCAGCCCTATGTTCCTCAAGGAATTAAGAGGCATGATGATGATGATGATAATCTATAGGAGAGAAATCATTTTCATACTGGTTGCTCAGAGATTACAAAGAGTTAAGAAGACTGAATAGTAATTAATTGGTAGTTGGTCAATTGTACAAAAAGAAAGCATTGAATTTCTGGGCAATGAATGAGCCTATTGTTCCAGTGAATAAAATAAGTCCAGTTGACTATGATATTAGCAGAAAAATCTAAATAAAGTATAAAATGTCTTTTTGGTCCTTCCCAACAACAAGAATGTCATTTTTGGAACACTGACATCTATAGGGAATTTATAGCAAAAAGTATAATTTCTTTGTTTAGACCTTAGATAATTATAAAAAGAACTGGGTTAATGGACATTGGTTTTATTAACAATTAAAATTTCATCATCAAATCTGTAGGCTATAAAAGATAAAATTAGCACTAATAAAACAATCCCCTGATAAGTAAAACCAGATTTATAAAAGTTAAATACAGCTTTTAAAGAATGAAGATATATTCTCCATATAGACGTCCCCCCCCCAAGCCTTAAATCAAATGCATAATACAAATATCCAGACGGAAAAACACATGCACATATACATACATACATACACACACACAAGTCCCTGCACTATATAGATGAGTCCATACACTGGGGTTGAATAAGACTAACGTACTTCGCATTAGTTGAAATAGATCGATCCCCATATGAGGTAATTTTGGATTTTGTTGTGTAATTTATATCTGTTATAATAAATACATTGAGCTCTTTTTGTGGATCAGTTTTAATATTTGATATTACTAGGATCCACTTGGATTATATACCAATGGATTTATTACCTGTACTTTATATATATATATATATATATATATATATATATATGTGTGTGTACAAAATAGGTCAAATTATACCCTGGAGATAATTGGATGAGATTTGAGGATTAATGACAATCTGATGATCTAAGTAATTTTTTCTTCATCTCATTAAATATTGAAAACACTTAGCTACAGTGTGCTTATCAAATGAGTCATAAAGATGTATTAACAGTCATCAGTTTTAATATATTTCCCCATTTAATAAGGCATAGCACACTCCTCTTGCACTTCAGCCACACACTCACATACATGTCAAAACATAAATAATTATTACTGCTATACATACACAATTTCAAAATATGATTGCTGCAACTGCTATATCTTCTTCTATGCACCATGTCCCTTCAGAACATAGTGGATCATGGCTCTCCACAACTTCTTATTCCTTTTAGCTCTTAGCAGGATTTCTCCATTTGCCAAGCCACCCACACGCATGCTTCTGCCATCCATTCATACAAGCTCATCAGGTAAGTGGATAGCTGCCTTCTCCTATTCTTCTTGCCCTTGATATGGCCCTGGGAGAGTTAAGTTCTCTAAGTCCTCCTTCCTCATTATGTATCCAAGAAATTTCAGTCATCTCTTTCTGATTCTGTGTATAAATGTTTTTGTTACGATTTTCTTTAAGACTTCCTTGTTACTTACTCGCTTTGTCCATGGAATTCTAAATATTCTTTTGTAGAACCACATTTCTGCTGCCTCCAGTTTCCTCCTCTTTATCTATGGTGAGATTGTCCAGAATTCACTGCCATACAAAAGGTTTGATAACACATAGCAATCCAGGACACTCTTTTCTTTGTTTCTAACAACATTTTCCTGTTTCTTAGTACTTTCTTTAAGTTTTGGAATGCATCTGTCACTAATTTGATGCTAGTTTGGATTTCAGTGTCACATTTTCCAATCTCTGTTAAAAAAAAAACTTCAGATATTTAAACTTCAGTACTTGTTTAAAGGTTGACATCTTCAACTTGTAGTTTGTATCTTGAGACTTTTCTCTTGCTGACAACCATATTTTCTGTCTTCTTAAGGTTAATGGCTAATCCTTTTTTATTGCTTTCCTTTAGTACCTTCTCTAGGATGTCCTGTGGTTTCTTTTCTCTGTCTGCCATCAATACAGTGTCATATGGCTATCTGATATTGTTAAGATTATGCCCACTGATAAATCCTGATAGGGTCTGAAGTTCCCTTAAGATAGCCTAGCTGTAGAGATTGAACAGATCTGGAGAGAAGACACATCCTTGCCTTCAGATGCTTTCTATTTTTTTTTCTACTTAATCATTTTCTGGTACAAGTTCTGTATTATTCTAAAATTCTTTCTGAATAGATCGAGTTTTCCTAAGAGTTCAAATAGATCTTCTTGCCGTACAATGTTAAATGATTTTGTGTCATTTATAGAACATAAGAGTGTATCTGCATTCGTATTGCTCTCTCTCTGATATTCTAATAATAAATATTGCATTTCTTGTTCCAGTGTCCTTGACAAAGTCACACGGCTCTTGCTCTATTTCTAGTCTAATTGTTTCACGCTCTAGTCATCAGGATTCGGATAATTAGCTTGGTTATGGGGCTCATTAACCTAATTGTCTGATGGGGCTCGTATTCATTTGCAACTGGGTTTCTTAGATAAAGCTACAAAGATGGATCTGCAGAGGTTATGTTGCCACTGTTGTATATTTCATTTATCACTTCTGTTATTTCGTCAATTCTGAAATCATCTAAGGCCAAGAGCATCTCTATTACGATCCCATCTGGTCCTGTTGCTTTGTTCAGTGCTAATCTCAATGTCTCTGGCCTTTCCATATTTTTGTGTATTGTAAGTTTCTCTCTCTCATCGGGAAATAGTTCAGTGGAGTAATTTTTTTCTGTTATGAGTTTTCGTTTCTTTGATTTCATACAACCTGTTGTTGAGCACACGTTTTATCCAGTTAATTATAGTAATGCAAACATCAACAAAAGTGACATTAATGATAATGATATTATTATTTTTTTTTATTTGATTATAAAAATAACCCTGGTAATTTACAGAATATATCAAGCACTACAATGGTTGCTCTCTTTAGTGTATGAAAGGTGCACGCAAATGTGCAAACAATTATGAAAGGTGCACACAAATGTGCAAACAATTATGAAAGGTGCATGCAAATGTGCTACAAATTATGAAAGGTGCATGCAAATGTGCTACAAATTATGAAAGGTGCATGCAAATGCGCTAACAATTATGAGACAGAGAAGACTTTTGGAAATCAATTTTTTATTAATATAAATGAAAGTTTTTCATGAAATACAGTCTTCAATGGTTTGGTTTGTTTTATGGCATATCAACACCTCAATGGGTTATCTAATGCAGAAAATTTTTTTTATTGCTGGTAATATATTGTTTTGTCAAAAATCTCTTTCTGGTAATATCTTTCCTTCAAAAACATTGTTGGTAATATTTTTTTTCCTTCAAAAGTTTATTGCTGGTAATAATTTTTTTTACAAAGTATTTCTGGTATTAAAACCTATTTTTACACTTTCATAGTGTTTTTACCCCAGTTTAGGGGTTAACTATTTGACCATAGCTGGGACCCTAACAGGTGCTACCACCCAGGGTCAGAGTGGACCTGGGAACACCAGCAATTAAGAGGTGGTTCCATGCTCCTCAAAACCTCCTGATCAGAGGCCTTGCTGCTGGATGTAGTTTATCGTCATACCCAGGATGGAGTCTTCAATGGAGAAAACAATATTGTTTTTCCATATTAGTTATGTTTATTTAATAGATTGTTCTTTATTTTCTAAAAATACAAAGTTAATATTTGCTAACAATTCAAGTGTATGTTGGGGATATTATTTAGTGATGCATATTTAGACAAATTACAAATGTACTATTTAGTATGATTGTTTGCCTGTTTGTTGTTGTATTATTAATTGAGATATTTCTTTTGTGGTGTATATGACATGTGGTTCACTCGGGACTAAGAAGTCCCATGAAGAGGAAACAAAACATATCTGTGAGGGTGGAGAGAGAGAGTAAAAAGAAAAAAAAAGAATGAAAAAGAGTTCATATAATTTTTTTTTTTTTTTAAACTGTTTTGGCAACACCATATATATTGGGCATTAAAAGTTCCCTGACAGTCAAATGGAGTATCCCACAAATGAAAATATCTGAAAGTGTAGATTAACTGTATACAAGCAGTGATATCAAAGGAGGCACAGCAGTAATATATGGATCCATTTGTTGGAGGGATAAAATACTTAGTCTGAGAAATATGTATTGAAATGGAACACCTTTTATGGGACAAATGTAATATTTAGCAACAATTTGACTAGTGTTTAAATAAATGCATATCCATCCCACTGAAAGTAATCTTATTTGTTTCATTTTTTTTATTATTATCTAAAGATAATTCTTTCAGCATTTCTTCCATTCTATATTTAATTATTGTGACATTGCAAATTAAATCATTAATTACAGATGACTGGAAAATCTATCATTGTAATTCAAAGCCATGATGTCAGGTCAGAACCAATAACATTGGAGATTTTTCTTTGGATTTTGTTAAGAATCTCTAAAATACACAGCAGAATCAAATTGATAAATAATTTTCCAAATCTAAGAAAATCATTTAAGAAGACTGGACTACCAATTCTATTTGTGACAGGAAGAGAAGAATTACAAAAATGTACAAACCTTTGAAATGCTTGCAAACATTCATTCCATCTGAGCTTCATGAGGTTGCACCAACCTAATTGAAAAAGACAAACAGAATAATATTACTATATAAAATACAGACTGTATGATTAGTCATTACAAGGCCTTTAGTGAATTGTGAGATAGACTTATTGGACCATTACAACTGTCTAATGAGTTTTAGTCTCAAAGATATTGAATTGCTGTGGCCTTGCACAAATCTAATCAACAGAATGCCTTGCTGTGGTGTAATGGTTAATGAGTTATTTTAACAGACAATATCAAGTTTGAGCCTCATTGGCTACCTCTGATTTTTCAGCCATGTGTTAGTTATTAAGTTTCATAAATACTGATATGTGTATCTATATCTATAATTCTCAAAATGTGTGTATGTATGTATGTTCATGTGATCTGATGTTGTTTATGCATTTCCACAGTTTTCATCTGATTTTGATGAATTTTTTTTTGTTTAATAGATAATTCTTCAGTGCCGGTTTTTAGTCCAAATTGTTGGCACCAATGGCTCTCCACTACTTCCTGTCCATTATAACTCTCAGAAACGTTTTACTATTTAATATCTGTTCTTGGATATATATCCTTCACAAAAACTTAAATAAAATAGTTTAAATTATTACAATAATCCCAGTAATGAAAGACCCAGTCAAAGACGGGTTATGCTGCTAGTGTTTATATAGATGGTAGGTCGAAAGTTACTTTACTGTAATATTTAAGTAACAAAATTTTTTAAAGAAATTGTTTAACAAGAAAATTACCTCATTATATTAGAAGACAAAGTTGTGGCTGAGTTAACAATTTGTAATAATTTCGATGAAGTAATTTGAACACAAGATAGGATAGCATCTCATTATGGTGAAATGGATGAGAATTTCTTGATAGCATTTTCATCATCAATAGGTTCAATGTCACCTAAACTAATGTTATTGGACTTCACATTTTGGAGGAATTATCAAAGAGAATGTTTACAAGACAAGATTAAGAAAGCTGCAACAACAAAAAGAATAACTGCATAATTTAACATTTTGATAATATGCATGAATTGAGGGGGCCATTTTTGAACATTTTATTTTAAATTTACTTAATCTACCCTTCATTTACCTGAAATATAACCGTGCTAATAACCCAAAGCAAGGTGATAAAGCCACTAAAATGTAAGAGGTTACTGAGAGTAAAATAAACTGAGAAAACATTGTTGAATAGAAAGGACAATAAAAGAACAGTTTTCAAAAAGTCAGATGATAGTTAATATTGTATTTAAATTTTTGAAGATTGTAGTTAACAGGAAAGCAAGAAACCAGAAAAGAGTCTCACAAGCAAAAGATGAAAGAGAAGAAATATGGTAATATTATATAATAAATGCCAAATGTTTCCTTATAAGCCAGTGTTACATTCAGTTGAATTTTATAAAATTTTCCATTTAAAACAATTTTTCAGGAAAACAGGTTTCTCAAGTCTAGTAACTTTTCTTTCCCTTTCCAGTATTATTGGGAGTTTCCTTCCCAACCTTTTGTTTGAAGTAGTGTGGAATGTCAACATCTTCATTATGACATTTTCTCATAGAGTTACATGTGCTATCCGTTTTCCTTCTCACTAAGATCTATGAGCTTCATTTTTAATCACTGAACCCAGAAAGTAATTGTATATAGCTGTGTGTTGGGGGGGTTGTTTCTAAAGACTGCTTGAGGTATGAAATTAACAGCTGATATGCAGTGTTGATTCCTACATAACAGGTTTGATACCCACAAGAGATTATTGTTAATCTGGAGAAGTTCCTTCAAGTGACAAAGCAAATTACTTTATAATTTTTTAACCATTTGCTATATATAAGTTGTGTTTTTTTCTCAACTATATATACAAATCAGTGATGCATTGTGGGTAGTCTATTGCATTGTGGGTAGTTTTTTCTAAGGGTTATTTTGGCGGGAGTGGTTTGTTAATTTGTTTATTATTTACTTTTTTTGAATTAATTTATTTTACTTGTTTTTGCTTATTTATTTTTATTTTATTTATAGTTATTCTTTTCAGTTTTCGATTTTTCCAGTAATGTAGTAAAAAAAACTGTTTTCATGTCTACATTTTGAGATGAGTTCTGATCGTTTATTTAGTAGTTTGTTTTAACCTGGGAAGGTAATTGTAGCTATTTTTTCCTCCAAATAGTTACAGTTTTTGGATTGATTGTTGTAGGCTGATGTTCTTTTTCTTATTTTCCATGATATTCTTGGTGTGATTTGCTTTTAGTTTCCCAGATATACTTGGAAAGCATTGTACTGTTTGTGCATTTACAATTTGGGAAAGATGTTTTGTGTGCATAGTTTCTTTGTTTCCAGGGTCTTTCAGTTACTTGTATGTATATTTTTTCTTTGTTATCTGATGATTTTACTGTAGCTTGATATATTACATTGTTTTATAAGCAATTGCTGTTTAAGGGACATCCGTTCTTTATTCTGCAGTTACATGTGGGTTTAATTTGTTTGGCTGGTTCATTGATAATTTTCCTGTTGTGCTTTTTTATTATTTTTGTCATGTTCTCACTGCAACTGTAGCTGATTTTTACTGTGTTTTTGTTGAATCTACACAATGGTTGCCAACCAAGAATTTACAACCCAGTCTGTCCTGTTATTTAATCCATCGCTGGAGTGAGGAGAGATCGATTTCCCAAGAGTATTTGTGTGTAAGTGAAAGTAACAAACCTAACTGGAATTTGAACTTGGCTCTCTGATTTCTCATTCTGAGCTAACATACATTTCATCACCTGTATATTCATTATATCTACCTATAATTTGAGGATATGTAGGGTAGATAATAGGTAATTATGCTTCTGTTACTACCTCCTTGTATGCTCTTACAACAATCTCATTTAGTAACACTGTTTTAAGTGGCTTTTGAGCCTTGTATTGGATGGACAATAGTATTAAAAATATACTCAGGTAAAATACTTTAAAAATAGAAGAAATCCTAGCAAAATTAATTAAGATATCCATATAGAATATTAAAACACTAGCAGAGGTACTCGGTATTGTATGGGAACTAATTTTGTCTAAATAAAGACAAATATTTTATTTGTATACATTATTAAAATGGAAGTAACCCTTAACTTAAGTTGACTTAACTCCCTTCTCACTATTGAAGTGAGACACAAAAGATATAAATAAATACACAATGGCAATTATTATATATTGTTAATTTAAGATAAAGTATTTCTGCATTGACTGCATACCTACCAATTTCATAGAGACACATGAGTTCAATTTCTCGTTGGCCAGCAGCAACAGTCAAGGCTTGTCTGTAAAGTGATAGGGAATACTCATTTTCCCTCTGGAAATAAAAAAAAAAAAAAATATATAGAGAAAATTTAAGAGAATAATATTAGATGTACAAAGGCAATAAAGAGAAGAAAGAAACTTTTGAGTAAAATTTTTCAATGAAGAGAATATTTTAGTAGAAGTAGAGGAAGAAGAAAAGAGAAAGAAAAAGGGGAAGAGAACAGACAGGAGAAGAGAGTGAAAAAGAAGGGGAAGAGAACGAAAAGGAGAAAGGAACGAAAAGGAGAAAGGAACGAAAAGGAGAAAGGAACGAAAAGGAGAAAGGAACGAAAAGGAGAAAGGAACGAAAAGGAGAAAGGAACGAAAAGGAGAAAGGAACGAAAAGGAGAAAGGAACGAAAAGGAGAAAGGAACGAAAAGGAATACAGTTTGTTTTATATGACCCAAGAAAAGAATATTTGATTAGGAGGAAGAAACAAAAGAGTAGAGGTGAAGAGGACATGGGGAAAAGAAAACGATGAGAAAGAAGTGAAAGAAAAAGGAGAGAGTAAAATTTTGAGCTTCTATAATAGTTATGACATATAGATCTCTTATAATAAATGAAACAACAATTATAGAATAAAGGGAGTAGTTTTTATGTTGGTTCAAATCCAAGAGAAATGGCTGAAAAAAACATTCCTCTTCCCAAATTTATAGACAAATACATGCTAGGATTTCTTCCTAACCAATAAAATAGATGATTTCTTGGTGCCATTCACCATATTGTTGTTGTTTTCTTGTTTTGAAGTCAGAATGCTACAATTTCTTGACTACATCCCTTTTGTGAGTTAGCACCATTCTTACTTTGTGAATTCTTTGCCTTATTACGGTTTATTTGTCTATTGGGTCTTTTGTGCACACACAAATATACATTTTTTTTTTACAGCAAAAATCCAAAATTACCTCATGTGGGTATAGTCTATTTCAGAACTTAATGCCAATCCTCACCAGCCCTCGAATGCCTGTCTGGAATTGGGGTTTTGAATTTATTTTAGATAGCACTCCTATCCAAAGGGACGCATTGTTTTTGATAAGGGGCTTGTGCTGGTGACAAGAGGAAGGTGTAAAGTATCTCTTTAAGTGGAAGTGGTCTGGAGTTGAGTTTATTCATGGCCAGAGGCTTTCATTGTATGTAAATGAATATATTAAATATATATATATATATATATATATATATATATATATATATATATATATATATATAAAATTTATTTGAAAATTATAACAAACATGTTATAAAATCACAACTATATTTGCTCTACTCTGTATCGAGCACTCTTATAAGAATAGTATTTTTATTTATTGGAATTTATTACGTATACACCAATCCTATACTTGTGTGTGTACACACACACACACACACACACACACACACACACACACACTACTGACCCAAAGTTTGTGACCAAATTGATTTTTTCCCCTCTTAACTTAACAAATGAATCAAGTTTCATGCCTTTAAAGAAGGAAATTTATTTTTTCTATATTTTCATGCAATTATGCAATAATTTAAATCAAAAATGAATATAAAACAATTATAATTTCAGTTAAAGCAAATTTATATTTTCTTTTCACCAAAGAATTTACCACAAGCATTTATTACTGCAGAGCAAATTCTTGCCATCCTTTCTAGTAACTTGTAAAAGTCTGTTGGTGGAAGTGATTCCCAAGAGGTGTGTGAAGGTGTGTAAACAATTCTTAGTTATTCTTAGGCAGTTCACTTTGAACATTACAATCAATTTCATTCCAGACTAGTCCAATCAGTAAAAGATCTGTAGACTGAGTGGGTCAAGTCATGATTTGTAAAATTCCCTTATCTTCCTTTGATTTTAGATAATCTGCACATCTTTTTGAACTGTATTTTGGATCATTATCTTTTTGCAAAACAAAATTTTGTCCAATAATGCAGCAGCCAGAAGGAATTTATCTGAATTTTTTTATGAAATCAGAGAAACAATTCAGGGTGGTCCCATACTATTGATTGGTAGTGTGTGTGTGTGTGCGCGCGCGCGCGCATGCGTGTATTATTTGTTTAGCATTATGTTCTTTTCTTTCATTGTTATTGTTTATTAGAAACTTTGTTAATTTGTTGGATATTTTTGCCCATTTCACTTCAGCATGGCTAATTACTCTACATTTTACTTCAATAATGTAAAGTCAGGTCCCAAACAAAAATTATGAAAACTCAGTAAAGATCATATTTACTATCAATATCTATTGTTATTTCCATTATAGTAAATCCTCATTAATTAATGTATATAAATAGATTAAAGAAAAACTTGTAGTTAATAAATAATTATTGTATTTGGTGATTTAGAAGTGTATGTAGAGGGACAACTGATCACACCCTATAACATTTTTTAATCATTTCACCCCAACTAAGGCAATAAAGCCACTAAAACACTCAGTATGAGGGAATATAAAAAATACTATTAAGGAGAGAGAACAATAAAAGAACAAGAATGAAAAAGACAAGATAATGACTGATATTGCATTTAAATTTTTTAAGATCAAATTTGACTGGAAAGCAAGAAGCCGGGACAGAGTTCCATAAGTGAGAAGTGTAATAAAAGAAACTGTTAGCACAGAATTTACAGTTACATGTAGCCACCATTTCAACTGTTAAAATGATGAGACCTTACCACCTATTTAGTATTGCACTTAAGTTCATAAAGTCTATGTACCATAGAAGAAAGTTCATCAGAACAATTACCATAAAATTATTTATAAAAAAGGGACAGAAAAGTTATGTTATGGCAGTGGGAAAATAACTTAAGCCAAGATGCCAGGTCAGGACCAATAACATTGCAGATTCTTTGGATTTTATCAAGAATCTCTAAATATATAGTAGGAACACTGGACTATATATGGCAGCAATATTCAAAGCCTGGATGAATGTTAGACTTATAAATATAAAAGATTCTGAGAGAAAAATTGTCTAGCATGACACAGTGAACCAACTTACTTAGCAGCTAACCAATTTTAAGCTTTCAGTAGAAGTCTCTATTGTCGTAATATCAGTACATTGGATTCTGTGTATTTATTGCAGAGATGTTAAAATATTTAAAAATGTATTGTATATGTCATTTTTCAGCATATATAAGATAAATTTGATATCGAATAAATATATATAAAAACAAAAGGAAACGGATAATCTTTTAGCCAATATCAGTAACAATTCTAAATAATAAACAAGCCTTTAACAATAGTAAAGAGCAGTGATTTTCAACCGGAAAAAAAAGAAAAAAAAAAAAGAATACAATTTTGTGTTAAATGTTCCGAGAAGAGAATATCTGATTAGGAGGAGGAAGAAAAAGAGGAGAGCTGAAGAGGATAAAAGTAAAAGAGAAAGGAGGGAAAGAAAAGAAATAAAAAAGGAGAGAGAGAGAGTATAATTTTGAGCTAAATTTCCTCTCTTTTTCCTTGTGAGAAGATCATAAGTGGGCCATGAAAATTTTTTAAAGGTCATTAATTATTTTCGAAAAGTCCAAAGCACAAGTGTACATATCAAAATTAAAACCCCTTTAAACTTATTATACAGGTATATCATTTGATATATTTATTTATATCATTGTTATAATAAATAAATGTATGCATAATATATAAAATAGAAGGGGTGTGTAAAATGAGATGGCACAATTTGATAAGGACTTGCTGATCAATATCAATATATGTAGAAATTATCTAAAGTTGAATCCATGAATGACTTAGAAATCCCTGATTGTGCACGTATTGTGCCTGAAGTAGCGAGGGCATGTAGCTCATACTGAATGTATTTTTTTAAAATTTTTATTACATAGCATTCAATTAAAATGGACAATATTTACATTATTTGGACTATTGTCCTCATCTTTGTTGCCATATTTATTACAACGTTTCGGCTGTTATACGCTCTGGCCTTCTTCAGGTGGTTGGAATGTCAAACTGAACCCTTTATTTCGCTCACTGGGGTAGACTGTTCTAGTTCCATGTGCCATGTTTAATGGATGTCAGTTATCAGTTATCTCCTGTTAATTCCCCGCTCCAAGTTCTCCACTGTCTTAACTGGGTATTGAACTCACACTATTTGGATCCTGTCACTGGATCTAATGAACACCTTTATCCACTGTGCCATGTGTACTTGAGGAATGTTGTAATAAATATGGCAACAAAGATGAGGATAATAGTCTGAATAATGTAAATAGTGTACATAATACCTCATCTCAGAAATATAGACAGATACTGAAAAGCCGAAATGTTGTAATAAATATGGCGACAAAGATGAGGACAATAGTCTGAATAATGTAAATAGTGTACATAATACCTCATCTCAGAAATATAGACAGATACTAAAATGGACAAGTTCTTAATTAAGAAATAAAAATTAGAAGACAACACTTAATAATTTAAATGTAGAAGTTTAACTATAGTTTCAAGTGAGTCATGTAGAAAAAAAGATGTTGAAAAACATTGGTCTAGAAGATTAAAGAATTGGTTAGTGAATCTGGTGACATAATATCCAAGTTCAATTCCAGGGCTGGGTAGAACAGATGAATAGGAATATCAAGAACTGACCAATTAACCAAGGTTAGATACCCCTACACATGGACAACAGATTGTGAGTAATCAATCTTTATAGATTGAATAAAGTGTTCAGTTCAAAATTTGCTGATGGTTAGCCAGCTTGGCAGACACCTAAAGAAGGTTGGAGAACAGAGTGGCTGAAATATGATCATAACAGCAATGAGGACATTAGTCTGCTGTGAATAATGTAAATAAGCCTTGGAATGTTTGTCTTTTTCTAAGGCAGTCACTTCCAAGGAATCCAAAAATTAAGAGAAAAAAACTTCCAAAAGGTTTGCTAAGAGCATCATCCTTATTATGGTTTTATCAATTAAAGAAAAAGAAAAAACAATGAATGCCAAGGAAATTATACTGCAATGTTTTTGGAAAATTTCAAAAGTGCCTTGACCTTTTCAAGGTGAACTGACTGAATGAATAGCAAAGAAAAGAACAAAATGTTTTCAAATTCAGGTCAAGTAAAGGAAAAAAAAACAAAAAAAACAAACTACCAAGCAGTCATGTGAAATTTAATCAATTAGCAAAACTTGTCAAAACAGCAAGAAACAGAAGATATTTTGTTAGGCGTGTGTTTTATAAAGACAGAACTATCTATAAATTGACAGGAAGAGATGTTCCAGTGTCTTTATATTTCAGAGAGGAGATAACATTTTATTAGAGTCGAGCCAAAAAAAGAGTTTCCTTTATTTTAAAGAGAGGGGCATTGCTGGAAAGCTAATTCAAGACATGCTTTAATTAAGAAGGAATCTTGTGCTTAAAACTAAAAAATTCCAATACCTAATTACACTGTTGGGAGTCTAAAAGTTATCTCCTCTTGTTCAGTTGAAGAGGCAGACAAGTCACATGAGATTTTAAGGCATCAAGTTTCTACTCATGGAGTCAGATGGTTAAGTGGATGATAGTCTTGGTTAAGTGGATATAGTTATCAGGTAGTAGTGTGAGTTCAACCCCAGGATTAGGTAGT